AAAAAAAAAACAATAGCACTGAGAAAAGTTCAGTTAAGAACTGAAATTACAGCACTCAGAACATCCTATAAGCACTTGGTCCCTATTTTCATCAGCCAAAGAAGAGTTCCAATTCCGATGGTACTAGCAGCAGTCTGATTGTATGTCCGTCTTCCCTTAGTGTTGGATGTTGGCCACATCTGCTGGTCATCCCCTTATCACATGCCCTGTTGACTGGCATAGGCATTTTTGCATCTCCACAGATCTCGGTCCCTTGTCAGTTCCACCAATGATATTTCTCTGTGCCACTTGCAATCCATCTGACATAATCTCTCCCTTTTCTACCGATGATCTTACCAGTAGTCACAATATCCCCAAAGCCTCCCCTCATCACTTAACCAAAGAACAGTGCTTGTCTTTTCCTTATAGCTGTATGTGCAGATCTTTTTTCATTAGCTTCTTTCAAGCAATCATTTTAGTTACTCTGGCAGTACACGGATTCTTAAACATTCATCTGAGGAGCCACATTGCTACCAAGTTCTTTCAATTTGTGTATTCACATTCATCATGGGCCATGACAACAGCCAACAGAAGCCAACTTCAGACCTCAGAAATGAGATATCTGAGAAAGGTGGTCCAAGTGACAAGAAGGGACAAAGTCGCAACCAGACAATATGTCAAGATCTTGAAATTCAGACCTTACAAACTCTAGTGGATCAGTCACAGTTACGATGGTTTGGACATGTATGCAGAATGGGAGAAAATCGGCCACCATGGCAGGCAAGGGAAGCTAAGAACCAAGGAACCAGACCACCAGGGCGACCCAGGGTCCAGTTGGGAAAACAACATCTGACAGTCCCTGATGGACCAAGGACTGGAATGGTACAAAGCCAGAAAGAAAACTGCTGATAGAGAAGTCTGGTTATTGATCTGGCAAACCTCTAAACCCCAGGTAGAAAAGGAGCGACTAAGTAAGTATTTACATTCCATGATTCACTACCATACAGCAATATAGGTTCTACGTTAAATTTTAGTACTCCCTCTCTCAGATATCCAAAGAGAGGGAACTGCTGCAAAAGATGCTCTTCATTCTGTGAAATACAGATATAGCCTGGTATATTCTGCTATATTTCTTACATACATCTTCTGTCTGATGTTATGATTGTACCCAGATATTTGTATTTATCAATTTGGATTAACTTTTTTACTTTCTATTCTAATATGACACTGTGGTGGTAATCTTTTCTTTGATATAACCATCATGCCCCAAAGAAAAACGATCCAAAGGACGATAACTACCAGGGACCTCTGAAGCGATTTTTACAACTTTGCATGGAGCCCGCCTTTCTCCACATTCTCTGTTAGTCTATTAGAATCATGACATGTGTATGCAGCTAATTCTCAAGCCTGCAGAAGGCGGCTTTGACTACCACCCTGCTCAAACTAGATTTTGTGATATCATATCCTAGGCTCTGCTGCACTAAGTGTTGTCCATTCACTTCTGCAATACAAACCCAAGCACTTTTTTCCTCTCAACAGAGATCAAACAGTTAAGAAGACAAACACATCACCTGGGTGAACTTACGAATCAGTTGCTGAATTTCTGATTCTGGCCTATCTCTGCACTCACAGCCAATGTGATCAGAACCTTTCAAATGTCTGATAATAGTTTTGGCACCTTAACTCACTCTATTTCTCATCAGAACAATATAGTCCAAATCGAAACCCATGATTTTTTTAAAGCAAGAAAACTACCATTTTGTCATGAAGATCTGCTTTCAAGAGTTACAACAATGAAACAGTACATTCTGATAAATCATAAGTGGCTATGCAAGTGATTAGAATGCTAAGCTCTTATAAGGGAGACCCAGTTTCAAATCTTTAAAAATTGCAAAGGTAATGGTCATGTTTTTTCTGTCAGGTGCGCAAATTATACAAAACATTTGCACTCGGCACATAAATTATAACTGCACTAGCCATGTAGCAATAGTTTATCAAGCTCAAGACCAAAGTGCCCTATACCACTGTAAAATGGTAAATAACGGCAGTGAGCTAGAACTTACAACCATGCAAGGTGGTATTTCAAGTCAGCTAGTCACTTTACAACAACAGAAGAACTTGTTGTAGAGCCTTAGTTAGTCGACAGATTATCATCATCCCACATCAAACCATTCAGCCCATAATGTTCACATATAACAAATTTGCAGTTAGCCATCTGAACCTATTATACACATGAACATGCTGGAGTAAAAGACAGTAAGTTTGCAGCCCAACTGGAACCTGAATGATGCATGCATATCCGTTTCACATATCTGGCTGATGAGCATGGTCCTTTGCCTCTCAGGCAGATGCACTGCGACTTCAAAAGACCCCTAATTAGTCTACTCTTACAACACGTGTCTGAGGAGGCAGTGGGTCTGTTTTTTTTTTTTTTTTGTTGTTGTTGCAATGGGACCTCAAAACCCACATGGGAAACCATACACTCAAAGCTATATGGAAGTGAGGAGGAAAATTTTTTATTTTATCAAAAGAACTTGACTGTCAAGTGTAAATCAGGCATCATCAGTTCTCGTTATGCCTAGTGGCACATGAAGCTTCAGAGAGGACTTTCCATGCTTTCCTGTCCTGTGCAATCTTCAGTGCAGTTTTCCATGTCAAAGATGCCGCACTCAGGTCACTTTCCATCGTTCGTCTTCATGTTGTTTTTGGGCCCCCCTGTTTTCTCTTTCCCTCTGGTGTCCATGTGAGAGCTGTTTTGGCAGGTATATCAGAAGTCATTCTCATAACGTGGCCAAGCCATTTCCATCTTCTCTTGGTAATCATACTGTCTAAAGTTTCTTGTTTTGTGGCTTGAAGTAGCTTAGTGTTTGAGATTGTATCTGGCCAGAAAATTTTGATAATTCTACGTAGACATGTGATTCTACGTAGACATGTTGTGGTGGAAGGTAGACAGCTTGTGTGCATCCTTTTTGGTCATTCTCCAGCATTCCGCTCCACGAAGAAGAACTGGCAAAATGATGCTCTTGTAGAGTCGGAGTTTCGTTCCTCTGCAGTAATTGTTGGATTTCCAGATTTGCCTCATCCTTCCAAAAGCAGCTCTAGCTTTGTTCAGACATGACTGTATGTCTTCCTCTGTCCCTCCCAGTAGGGACACCACACTGCCAAGATATGTGAAATGTTCTACATTTTCAAGTGATTGGTTATTTATGGTCACTGGTTGTTGGTTTGGACTGTTTGTCATGATCTTAGTTTTCTTTATATTTATTCTCAGTCCCACCATTTCTGCTGTGCAGTTTAGTCTGCTACTTTTCTCTTGTATGTGTTCATGTTTATGTGATAGGAGTGCTATATCATCTGCAAAATCAAGGTCCTCAAGCATGGTGAATGGAGTCCATCGTATGCCTCTTAATGTCCTGTCTACTGTGTTCTTTAGTATCCAATCAATCACACGGTTGAAGAGGAGAGATGACAACACATCCCTGTCTTACACCCGTGTAGACATGATAAGGGGAAAAAATGGGATGTCACAGAAGGGATTTGAATTTCCCTTTGACTTGCCCACCAGGAAGAAGGACTGCCTTAATAAAGGAGGAAAATCATTTTAAAGAAATTATTAAATGCGCTCTAAAATCTTGAATCAAAATAGTTAAAGAGCCCAAGAAATTGAATTTTCTAATCAGCGTCACAGTTAGCACAGTGGGAAATATTTTAAGAATCTATAAAAAGCAAGAAGCAGTCTTAGGGAGGATGAGAAAGCAAAACAGTGAGAAACAGGATTTGGCGAGATCCTATAGGGGGACCAGAAGTAATCACACATAAAGTTTGGTTGGAGATTGCAGAACATGTAAATAAGTCTGCATTGCCAACATAGAAGGATGTTACAGGTGTGAAGATGGTCACCCACTAGCTGGCTGTATTAATGCCAGGCCTCACTCTGCAATGGACTGTGTGTGTATGTGGAGTTGAGAAGATTTCAGTCTGTCAGATCCAAGTGCTGGGCAGAAAATGGATCCTGAGCCCAATGGCTGGTTGCAGTAATGGCAGTCTACAATCTGCCATAAGCTATTATGGTGTTAAGGAGAATTCAGTCTGTCTGATCCAAGAGAGAGATAGAAATTGGATCCTGAACCCACTGGCTGTGTACAATAATGCCAATCCTCACTCTGCAAAAGAATGTACGTATGGTGTTAAGATGTCAGGCTGTCTAATCCAAGAGAAAGGCAGAAACTGGATCTTGAATCCATGGTCTACAATCTGATCTCAAATTAAGTGTACCAGTCAACTAAAAGTGATCTGAAAGACAGGGACCGAACCTGAACATACTGGCTGATTGCCTTAATGCTAGTACCTTATCTGGTTTCTTCTGTTGTATGTGGAATTACTCCAGTTTAATTCAAAAGAGGAGCAGAACTCAGAACCTGAAACTGCTGACTGAGTGTCCAAATGACAGTGAAATGCCTGCTCATGGTGATACAATGTGACCCTAATCCAGTGAGCCAATATCAAGAGGGTCATGCATTTAACATATAACCAGTGTGCTCCTTCCTCATCTTCAGCAGCCAGCGTAGAGCTCCAATACTGATGGTACTTGTCAAAATCTGGTTATATGTCCATCTTGCCTTTCCTCTGAGTGTAGTGAGCCGGCCAGACCCTCTGGTTACACCCAGGTGCCTCATTCTCTCCAGGCCATAATAATCTTGTTTTTATACCGATTCAGTTGCTTGTTCCCAAAGGGCCTTGGCCACATCTGCCTTGTCATGTATCAATTCACCACCGAGTGGTGCCGTATCTCGTCATGTGAACACTACAAACAAATACTGAAACCCACAAAATGAATTCTTTCGATGCAACATGCATAAAACAATACACCAGGAAATAAATTGTGTAATATTTTTACGTCCCCATGACATTCACAAAAATGAACAGAAGAAAAGAAAACAATAAAACATTGTTGTTGTTTTTTTTTTTTTTTTAAGAACTTACTTATCAATGCTAAAATTAGAAAAATCAGAAACACTTACCGTAACCCCATATTTTAATGTAATCCCCATCAATGTATCCGTTCTTAAAAGTCGTCGCGAAATAAACTGTTTAGTCCTTGGCATTGTTTTGCTGGGAGCAAGAGTCTGTGAGGCCGTTCCATATCCCATCTGTGAGCGGAGCGATTGATGCAAACCCCGTCTTTCTCCATTGTTTTCTGTAGCCATTTCCACAAAAACTTTTCACTCATTACCAGTCAACAATCGGAAATCACATGCCATTTTAATTAAAGTGAGTAAGTATTACTGTTTAGACGCACACTTACAAACGACAGAAGTTTTAAGAAGACTTTATCGTCCACATAGATAATTATTTTCTTATCTTGCAGCAGACGTGGGTTCATTAGCCTCGTTTTGGTAGTCACAGACCAATGTTTCCGGTTCCTCTTTCTCAGAATTCATTGGACTAGAGAGTTTTAGTCATACATACAAAATTAAAGCTGTGTCAGCTCTTGAGCCAAGATAATGACCCCATTTTGGAGGAAAAAAGTGTTTCCCAACTTTTCTTTTTTTCATGCCCCACCTAAGTCTTTCTAACATTCTTATCCCCCCCCCTCCCTCGTGTAACTCTAGGCAAGTCCATTTTCAAACTGCTCCCTTTAACAAACTGCCCCAAACAGCGTTGGTCCCACGCTGGGGAAACATTGGAACAAGCCAACTGCTTCTTAACAAACGTGGCCTTAAAGATACAAACACTGAGGTATTGGAAATAACCTTTATTACAACAGTTTCAAAAAAGCTCTGTCTTTGAAGGCTAAGGTGGCTGGGTCACACCTGCAGAATTGAGAGCGGTAGAATCCCTAAGGACATGTTGATTGCAGATGGATAGAAGATGTCGAGGCTGACCTCTACTACGATATTAAGAAGAGTGCACGCGGGACATGTATGATACAGGTACTGAGGCAGATTCGTTAGAACAAAATGTCATGGACCGTGTTGTGTGGAAGATGCCTATTCAGGAAGGGAAAGAGAATAAAGAAAGAAATTGTTGCAGAAAAAGTGAGAGCTGAGAGTCTGAGAAAAAGCACTCTACACAGATGATCCCAACATCATTATCAGGTGCCTTGCCGACTGGGTGGGCGATTATGCCTCTCCACAATCTTCTACATCATGTATCAATTAGTGTGCTGACACACTTCCATGCCATGCAGCAAGACTGACAAGAATCTTCCCTCGTTGTCTTCCTCTATCCCTCCTTCAATGATCTTTCCGGTGGTCACAGCATGTTCCATTTTCCCTCTTCTCATAACAGCCGAAAAACGATGACTGTCTCCCTCTGATGTCTGTGATGAGTTGTCTTCATGCTGCTGCCTCTTTCAAAACCTCCTGGTTGCTCTTTTTGGCTGTTCAAGGTATTTTATGCACATTTCTGTAAAACCCCATCTATGAGGCCTCAAGAAAATTGTTTGACCTGCCTATCGATTGTCCAGGATTCATGGCCATATGTCAAAACTGGATGCATGTAGCAAGCAAGAATTCTTTTTCCTAACCTTAAATGACAGAGATATATTGCATAAGATGTTCTTCATTTTATAAAAATGCAGTTTTGCCTGTCTTATTCTGTTTCTTATCTCAGTAATGCATCTTCCATCTGATGTTATCTATGTGTCCAGATATTTAAATGTCTGTACCTGTCCAAAAAATAACACCATTGACTTTTATTACACGGCTATCCTCCGAATAACGGGCACATATTATGGTGGTCAGAAACACACCCTAACACGGCCTCAGTCACATGTTAATTGCGCACTACCGACGACTACCGCCACCGCCGAGTGTATCTCACACGCCGCTATGCGCGGCGTTGAGCAGCGCTATACTAGATGGCTTGGACTCACGAGCAAATAAAATGAGGGAAGCTGCAGGAGATGCAGTAACAGCTGTTAGTGAGTCCCAGCCATCTAGTTTAGCCCCGCTACTCTCGGCGGTGGCGGTTGTCGCCGGAAGTTCGCAATTTAAGTCGCCGGAAGTTCGCAATTTAAGTCGCCGGAAGTTAGAAATTTAAGTCGTCGGAAATTCGCAATTTACAGGTGACTGAGGCTGACTTGTAGATATAAAGACTGTGTCATCAGCATAATGTAAATTGTTTATATTATGCCCACCAACCACAATTCCGGGCATATCAATTAAAGATCCCATTACATATTCACTGTATAGTGAAAATAAATCAAATATTTGGGTTTTTCCGGGCTTTTCTTATCAAGATGTGCTCACATTAGCTTCATGGTTCCTCCGTTAGAAACACGCAGATTTGCTAAAAGCAATTTAGATCTACAGTTAACATCTTTATTTCAGTTTGACTTTGTTGTGATGTCCTGGTACATGACTTCGATAAACCCAGGCCCTCTGTAATTTATGTTAATCTACCAGAATAAATGCGGGATATAAAACCAAAATCCACCACTGATACCAAGTGATTCAGACTGTTCAGAAACTACTTGAGGATAGAAAATAGAGAGGATATAGACCTAGTTCTATCTGTGATGGATTTTATTACTTTTACTAATGGTCACGTCATTCCCCCCCCCCCCTTCCCCAAAAAATGGAAAGCATCTTAAGACATCGCAAGTATAATAGTAACTGGAAGAAAACATACCCACTCCTCAAAAGATCTTTAGACGGATCAGAGGCAGCATATTGCAAACTGTCAGTGTACTGTTTCACCAAAAATTAGTAGCATATTGAATCATGAAAAAATCCGATGAACACAGGATGAAAACTCTGTCAAAAAGCTAGTCACAGCTTATTACAACAATGACTCCTGGGCAAAGTAATCATAAAGTTAAAAGGCAGCAATTTGCTGTAGGCACGACCTGCCATTGTGCAATACGCACAATTGATCATCTAAGTGAATTCATAAGAGAGCATGGCCGAGGGAGTACACTGGAGCACATACAGTTGCATATAGCTTAAATGTTCATGCCTAAAAATAAAATAAAAATGTGTTATCGCTTGCACTTAAGGGTAACCTTATTGATGATTTTCGGAACAAGAAATATTCCATCATTATAGTATAGTTGCAAAGATTTCATCCCATCTAAGAAAATGCTTAAAGATTTTACATCCGAAAAGGTTTAACGCTGTGTCTTCCACTTGTTCCAGTGAGGATGAGAGTGAAGAATTCAATTTATAGCTTTTGTTGTGAAGCGAGTACAATGTTATACTTTATCTGGCATTTTTTGGGTAATGGTTTGGTATAAAATGAAGTTTTTCATCTGGCAACCCTGGTCATAGCCCTGTGGGAAGGGTGTGGGACAGAGTAAACACGATACGACTTGTAACTTCATGTTTGTGTTTTACGGACCAAAAGGTGCACCAGCGGTCAGCCAGCTGAACTGACGATATGGGGAATACGATGGCTTGAACACTGGTGCCACATACACGTTTTACCCGAAGCTGAACGGGGAGAGAAGAAGGGGGCGGTTGGACACGGACGTGTGAGGCTGAAGACATTTTTTTTTTTTTAAAGTCTTAAATCAATTTTATTGAATGTTAAAGTGGGTCTGTGTACAAGATTGAGTGGTTTCTGTATTATACGTATTTAATATACAGGCGTCTGCGATGTGCGTATTTTGTTCAGTGTTCTAAACATATGTTGCCACGTGTGAGTATTTGTGGTGCAAGTGTGTGCGCAAGCAATATATACATCTTTACATGGACATTGGTATTAGTAGGATATTTTGAAGCAGTTAGTTGGTGAGTTGAGAATTGACTTTTCCAGACCGTTAGGTTAAAGTGTTTGCAAAGGGAGATCATGAGGGTGAAAAGAAGAGAAAGGGGGGGGGGGAGAGAGGGGAAAGGGAGAGAGAGAGAGGGAAATAAAGAGGGAGAGAGGGTAAAGAGTTGAGCGTGTGAGAGTAAGGAATTTAAGTATCATGTTAAGGCACGAAACCTATAATACTAATACATAGTCATATTTGACAGTTTATCAAGTCGCCGTTGTATGGTGAGGTCGGGGGCAATAATTTGAAGTCCAAGTCCTGGTACCAGAAGAGGGTTAAGGGTTAATATTGTGGATCTTCCATATAATCTTGGACGCCATCTTGCAGGAAAAATACAGGCTTGGTAACCGTAGAAGGGTGTGTTCTTTGATTTGGGTCTCAAGAGGGTTCTATACAGGCATCAATAACATGATATATATTTACATTACAAACCAAGTTCGACTCAACCCACGTAATGCGCAAGGTCAAGAGTCGTTCCCATTTACATCTCATATCTGTTTATGGACGCAAGGTGCCTCAAATATGAGTAAAGTATACATAAGAGTTATCGTAATAATAATGAATCAGGTGGCAATAGAGGGCGGGGGGAGGGGGACAATCGCTGTAAGACGGTGGTATGCAACACCAAACAGTAAAGGAGGAGATAAGGAGAAGAAATGCAAGAGAAATGGAAGAAAGAAAGGAAACAAGGCAAAACAAAAACAAAACGGGGGGGGGGGGGGGGGGGAATGTCCCTAGTCTGGTTCAAATATTTTCATCATAATATAATGGAACCTTTCGGCTAAATTGTTTTCCGAACATATGTGTCTATGAAACACAACATTGCATCTAGTAAACCAGATGAAGACACGATATTCTGCAAGTGCAGACAGTAATCTGGTTTTATCTAGTTTAATCAGTTGTCGTAGAGTGTTTCGAAATATGGCTCTATGTACATCAATCTGTGTTTTAATGTAGTGTCTTGTGGCTGTTCCTAAGTGTTTGAGTGTTCGCTGTATTGCTGTGCATGTATAAAAGATGTGTTCTTCTGTTTCTTGTTCGTTTCTGTTACATAACCTACAGGGGAGAAATTTTTTGAGTCTTTTTGCTGTTGTTTCTGTGGTTGGGGAAAGATTAAAAAGTTATCTGTAAGTAATATTCTTTTCCTATCGGTTTTATGTATGGTTTGTGTATGTTTTTGAAGGATGAAAAATTGTTGGTTTTGGGGAAGGGTTGTCCTTTTTTAATTCTAAGGTGGAGGGGTGGTGCTAGTTCTAATATTAGGTTAGTGTAGATTTGTTTTGTCGTTAGGTGGATTAATTTCTCATGTCCTTTGAGGTACTTGATACAATTTCTATAGAATAG